AAAAAAAAAAAAAAAAAACAGGGAGGGAGAACAAACAGAGGGTTACTGGAGGGGTATGGCAGGGGGGATGGGCTAAATGGGTAAAGGGCATTAAGCAATCTACTCCTGAAATCATCACTTCCCTATACGCTAACTTGGATGTCAATTAAAAAATAATTTAAAAAATTAAACAAAAAAAACCCTAAGGCTAGATATTTCTCTGGCCTAGACTTGCCATAATTTTCAACAGCTTTTTGTCCTCAATAAAGTGAATGATATACTAATATCCTAGTTTCTGTAGGACTTCAAAATCCCCAGCACTTCACCCCTTCCCCCCCAAAAAAGACAAAGAAAAAAACTGGTTTAGAAGTTTGATAAATTTAAAACTGGTTTAATATTTTCATCTTCCAGAATTAATTCAGTGGTCTCCAATTACATTTTTACTTACTGCTACTACTTTATCATTAATAAATATGCAAATAAGCTAGAACATACAAGATCTTTATTTCAGTTTGTATTCATGACGATTCTGGCTGTATAGCCACAGAATAAATCTGCTACATGACACCCCAGTGACATCGATTATACAAGTTTCAGTGCCACACAATATTTATAGTCACACACAAGAACCTTCACCAACATTTTTATTCACATAAGCACACTGCTTTCTGGCCACCTTCCCAAACCTCCCTCTGCCCCCAGCCTCAAACGTATTCTCTCCCATCTTCTCAGTATTCGTGCAGGTACCTACCAAAACTGCAGGATCCACTCTGACCTCAGCCCCTGACCTAAGGTGGGGGAATACATCACTCACACAGAATTTGGAAGTCAGCCCACTGAGTAGGAAAACTCTAGTTTCAACCTCCTAATCCATCATTCAGAATTCACAGCTGGGCACAGGGCTGTGCTTTCTGCAGGACAACTGAGACTTCAGGGGGACCACAGTTGTCAAGACACCACAACTCCTTTTCCCCTGCTCAGTTCCATGGAGAAAACCCAAGCAGTCTTGTTTTAATAAAAGAAACATGATGATCAAAGAAAGCTGTGAAAGGCCAGGCTATGTGTTCTCTTTAGTTATTGCATATAAGGCAAATGACTATGTAGTCTCTTACTAGTGTTTATGTAGAGGTGGAAGCATCACACCCCACATACCAGCCTGAGTTTTCAAGTTTAATCAAGGCTTAAGAGAGAAGGTGGTGGCGGTAATAATGAAATCCTTAATAATGAGCATTTCCTCTGTGCCAGGAACAAACCTTTTCAGTACAGCATCATCTGGAGCCAGACTACCTGGGATTAAATGCCAGCAACATCAGGGGCACCTGGGTGGCTCAGTCGGTTGAGCGACCGACTTTGGCTCAGGTCATGATCTCACAGTCTGTGAGTTCAAGCCCCACGTAGGGCTCTGTGCTGACAGCTCAGGGCCTGGAGCCTGCTTCTGATTCTGTGTCTCCCTCTCTCTCTCTGCCCCTCCCCCACTCATGCTCTCTGTCTCAGAACTAAACATTAAAAAAATTTTTTTAATAAATAAATAAATGCCAGCAACATCATGCACGAGCTATGTAACATAGGGTGCCTGGGTAGCTCAGTTGGTTAAGCATCTGACTCTTCATTTCCACTCAGGTTGTAATCTCACAGTTTATGGGATCAAGACCCACATTGCGCTCTGTGATCAGTGTGGAGCCTGCTTGGGACTCTTTCTCCCTCTCTATCCACCCCTCATCCACATGTGCTCGCTGCCTCCTTCTCAAAAAATAAATAAACGTTAAAAAAAAAAAA